CTTCAAGATTCAGCTCCAGTGGTATTTCCTCTGAAACTTTTATCAGCCTCCTCAGAGTTACTAACGTTTCTGAGCACAGCTGTAGTTTTTTAAAATGTCTACATTCTAGCATTGATAAAACTGTATGGCATGGTTTTCTGCATGTGACATTCTTTGACATTAGACTACAAGTTTCTAGATGGCCAGAGATTTATCTTATGCATTTTTCAAAATCCAGAATCTAGTGCTGTATCTATCATATAAATAAAAGCTCAGCTATTGTTCATTGAATTCATTTATTTAAACCACTTGATTCCATTTCACAGAGCAATCATTTTCTACCGAAATGCATTACTAAACTAACATCTTAAACATGCAGCATTAACTTAACATATATTTATAGTCTGACTGTAAGAACATGCAGAGGATGAAAACGGACAACAGAAGTGAATATCAGGTGGATGATTTTAGATCTGCAGCTGCCATTATTTACACTTTCAGAATTATGAACTATGTGAGTAATGGCATACAGTATAAATGCATGTGACTGCCGTGTGCAGGATATGTGAGAAAGAGACGGAGACAGAGTGGTATACATCTGTGTTATTAAAACTGTGTCTATGTTTAAAACAAGTATTTTCAGACTTCACAGGATCACTGGGTACAAATCCGCTACCTCCACATTTGGTCTACACTGAACTAGATTCTCAGCGTGTTTTCCCTTTACTTTTTTCCCCCCTCTCATGTCAGAGGCTAATTCAGACTCACTGAACTCCTAAAGGACTCAGGGAGCATGACCACAGCTTTGTTATCATCTTGTTAATAATTTAAGAGAGATTGTTTGCTCTACCATTCTGTCAAGTTCCCATTCCTGGCTCTCTCCAATACCCAGTACCAAGTAAAAATTTACTTAGTTCAATTCAGTTACATTCAACAAACATGTATTGATCACACATGCACCAAAGCATTCTGCTATGGACTGGGATACAGAAATGATATATTCAGACCACACTCATTCTCAAGTAGCTTTCAATTAAGCGGACTAAAAAGTTCAGAACAAAAATGTTTAAACTCTCTAATCTTATCATGCCTACCTAGTGTGCAATCTAATAAGTAAACTCTTCAGTCACAGAGCAGAGTTTTCCAATAGGATGATCGATTTTTTTAAAGGCTTAATGCCTTTTACAAAAACAAAAACAATGATTTTCTTACTAACATGTTAGAGAAATAATTATACATATGATGTTTTTTTCTTAATTGTATTTTTCATGCCCTGTTCTGGAAGGCAGTACCAGAATAAACGTCCATCAGTGCTCAAACGAAGAGGAAAACAAGAAAAGCCAAGAAGGGCTCTTAAAGTTAAGTTACTCCAGAGGAAACTGCATCAAGAATAGCTGTATACTTGGGCTGGAATTTTAAGAAGCAGTCCGAGGAAAATTTATACAGAAATACCTTTCCCTTTTCATTGCTATATATTGTGAAATGATCACCACAATAAAGTACTTTCAAATATATAGTACATCACTGGTAACTATATTCATAGTTTAAGAAATTACATAAGAGGTTATATAAGAAATTTTTCTTTAAGAGAGCATTTTAAATGCCCTCACACATAAAAACTTAATCTAAGTATTTTGATTCTAGTTTTAAAATCAAACAAAGCCTACAAATAATATAATCACAGCTGAATGATGATGGAAAAAGTTACAGAATTCATACACTAAGTTTTAAATCCTGACATTAAAAAAAATAGAATCAGACACTTTAAAGGTGAGGTGCGGAAGAAAGGAAAGGCTAGGCTGCTGCATTACACAGGCACCCAGTACCGACTGCACTTGCCTGGAATACAGGGCAATGACTAAAAAGACTGCCCACAGTGTAAGTAGGTCCACTGCATCAGGAGACCAGGATCCCTGCAGGTGAAAAATAAAAGCAACCTAGCCTGGGGTTCCTGGAAGACAAGATGATACACTATGTGATTCTACAGATGTGAACATTTCTCTAGTATTTCCAATACCACCATAAAATAAAAAGCCAGAAAACACTGGTTGGCATACTGGCTTCCTGCTCTGCTTTGAGAAGAAGGAAAATCAAATGCAGAAATGCGGAAAGCTACTGATGAGATTCTGGGTCTTGCTACTGTGAGCAAGTAGATCACTCAGGACATGACACTCCCTGGAGAAACAGACACACGCACAGCTTTAAAAAGTCATGAAGAAAAGTCCAGAGCAGTTTCCTTTCATCCGGGGTAATCGTTTTATGAACTATGCTAGTGGCCCCGGTGCCTTACGTAGACGCCAAAATCATCTGGCCCATCCTCTACGTTTAAGAAAGATAAAGAAGAGATGCCTGTGGTGTGAAATCCAGGGTGGGAGGGGGCACTGCCTTCCCCTTTTAAGAGCATCAATTAAACCCAGGGGAGGCGGGTACAGTTTACTAGTTAATTAGTCCAGGGATGAGGTTCTTTCATGTGTAATTCAGAACAGGAACACCTGGTGTGCGGCTCTTCAAAGCACGAGGGGGGGTGCAGGGAAGCCAAACAATGCGAGAGAGGTCAAGACAGAAAGCAACAGCACCAGAACAAAAACGGCTTCTCTCCGACCTTCACCCTGCTGCAAATAGAATGAGATTCCTGAGGGCCCCCTCCCCCTTAGGTCCGGGGAGAACAAACAGCTCCTGGCCCACTCGCGGAGTTCTGAGAAGACATGGTGTTAACTAATTGTTTTATAACCCAATTAAAAAGGAAACAGAGAGCCAGAGAAATGCAAAGAGGGACATAATGATTATAATCGCATCTGATACACAGCGCACACCCAAAATATTGACCCGCTCTCTCTCTGTTTTGTGACCAGGTAGCATTCAACAAAACTGGGAAGGGAAGGTTCTACTTGAGGACAAATGACTTTGTTCTGTTTAATCCGAAATTGAGCAGTCTGCTCGTGGCACACCTCTCCTTGTGAATTCTAGCATGGTGAGGTCACTTTTTTTTTTTTTTTAAGATTGTTGCTTCTAAACATTCTGGTTGTAGACAGGTTGATAAATGCAGGTGAAGAAACATTAATGTTTAAATTGAGCCAAATAATACATGATTTCAGCTGTGGTACCCATTTAAAGAAAAAATAATAAATTTTTAGGGGTTTTATTAGTGGGTTCACTCAGAAGGAATGAGGGAAAGTATACTGGAATGGATGGAATCTGGTACCTTTTAAAACTCACCACCATGAGAAATTCTACAGCACAGAGTACAGTGTCTGACGACATGAAAAAGCCCGCCATAGAGAGTTCTAACCTAATTTTAAAGATTGCAGGATCAGAAGAAATGGCTTAAGAATTTCTAACATTGATTGTACTTGTTTCTGCTCTAGAGAAAACCTTAATAAAAATTGTCTCACATCCCCTTTTTCGTGTGTGTGTGTGTGTGTGTGTGTGTGTGTTGGGGGGGTGTAAAATATGTGTTATGTACACCACACACCCACAAACACACATAACAGAAGCTGACTTCTGATCCATTAAACCAGAGGCACTTGAGAGGGAGGGAGATGGACAAGAAAGTGAAGAAATTGTGAAAAGGTTCTTAGCACAATTCTATAGCTCCATATCTATAATTAAAGAATAAACAATGAGCCAGAGATGGGAGAGTTGAATAAAAATACAGAATTATCTGGTGGTGCAAGAAAACGAAAGCCACTCAAAGGAAAAGTAAAAAGAAGTGCAAACACTTGGCGTGAGACACGTGTGTATAAGAGTCACTTTTAACTACCAACCACAGGGAGGGTGCCAGTCTCCCAACTCTTCCAAAATTTTAGTTTCAGGTTCTAGCTATTTAAGCAATAATCCAGAAAAATAAGATTATCTTTCCTCTGTATTTTTAAATTAATTTATTTATTTATATGTGTCAAAATTTCTCCTGAACAGAAAGACTGAAAATCAGCTCTGACTGAAAAGGAGAAAGGAAGCCTTGCCATGAATCAGGTTTGGAGGACAGACACAGATAAAGCCAAATATTTAAAACAGAAAACACTCTTTCTTCCAAGGCCATGTAGTAGCTGCAAAATGCCATTAGAACCCCCCTAAGTTTTACCGAAGTCACCCCAGATCCCCTTGGCTATTTTCATCTCTTATTAGGAGTACCCAACTGCTGCTAAACCACACTGGTCGAAACCTGACAACATCCAATTCCTAGTTAATTTCCAGTTCCAATCCCACTTTAGAAACAGTAATCAAGTCCAAAACCGTCCCCTCCTTCCCCGAGATTCTCCTCAGAATCCTCCAGCAGAACCTCCAGCCTCAAAAGCTGCTCCCTCCTAACTCTCGTCAAGGGAATTCCGTGGTTCTCTGAAATTCCCTCCCTCACTACAAGTCAATATATCCGATCTGGTCGGACCACAGGCTTGTTGCTGTTGGCCTTTAGCGAATTAGGCTTTTATACATTCAGTAAGCAATTACTGAGTTTCTACCATGTGGAATGCATTGGTGTTCTGGGAAAGATAAATGAAAATTAGTACCATTTCTTGCTTTCCTGAGGTCCCACTAACCTTGCAGAGGTAGGACAGAGATTTATAACAGTGTGAATAAACACCACAGATAATCATTACAACAGGACAGTAGTCTGGAGGTTCAGAGGACAGAAGGGCAGACGTCAGGATGGGATCTGGGGATGCTTAGAGAGAAAGCAGCATATGGCCTGGACCTTAAAAGAGATTTCCTGAGCCTGAAAACAGGCAGTCCCCGTGGAGGGGAAAAGAGGAATCAAGGCACAGAGACTGGGACGAACCATGTGTGACCAGAGAATGGCAATCTCCTATAGTCGGAACACAAAGTACGCAGTTCAGATTACTGGGAAGTCAGCCTGAAATCTGACACTAAAACATGTATTTTATTTGGTAGGTGATAGGGAACCACAAAAGGTTGCTGAAAAAGGCAATGGCTCTGTCAGAGGTATACTTGAGCATGGTTTACCCAACAATGTCATGAGAGACTGGAAAGTGTTAAAGAAAAAAAGTACTCATTCTTACACTTGTTAAAGGGTAGGCAGACTTCACACACAGGAACTACAGCAGCAGGACTAGGGACCGCAGTGCTACAACCAGATTTTGCATTAGGGAGAGATGGGACCCGACATAATACAGAAAGGAAAAGTGGGACTTTACAGCCAAGGAGTTGGGTAGGGGTCGGGGGTCAGTGAACGGAAAATTCCTGAGAGGAAACAACAGAGGTGAGGAGGGATTTCAGGCTAAACCAACCTAACCCAACAAGACTCTTGCTGGAGGCAGGCAGGTGGTCAGACGTCACATGGGGGATGGAGGGAGAGGAAGCCCCTGAGCAGACACGGAGGGTGAGCAGATATCGAGGACGCGGGATTCCAGCTAAACCGACTCCGCAAGATTCTTGCTAAACCTGGACAAGGCAGAGGCAGAGATGGAAGCACAAACGTCAGAGCCTGGTGGAGAAGAGTGTTCAGAGAAGCCTGACCAAAGCTTGATCAAGGAGAGACTGTTGGCAGACAGAAGGCTATTTTAAACAGTCCTAGTGGGAGTTAACCAGGGTTCCAAGCAGGATGGAGAAACAAGAGCGGAAAGGAAAGAAGCACCTAAGACAAACACGGAAGGTGAAGTACCACACAGCGGTGACGGACAGGACACAGAACAGGGGGATCCAGAGAGAGGGACCAGGGAGGGCTGAGGGGCGGAGCCTGGGTGGCTGGGAGACCTGAGGACCCTTAAAAGAAGCGGGGAAATCAGAGGGGAGATGACACAGTGGAGGAGAGTCCTGGGTGTATGTTCTGTTTCAGTCCACTCCACAGAGGTCCAGATTCTCACCCCTTTTCCATTCTGTTTTAATAGCTATCCTAGAGAGCGAGCAGGCAGCATTTTCAACTAAAGGAAGTGAGTGACTTAACAGTGAAACATGGGTTTCAGTTTCACTTTCAGCCATTACTGGCTCTGTAATCTTGGCAATTAACCACTCTAACCCTGAAAGTCTTCCTCTGTGCAAAGGGAATTCTAACAGTGCCTGTCTTAGAGAGGGGCAGTGAATGACTAAATTAAACGAGTGGGGGAAGCAGAGTGCTTGGCCAAGGGCTGCTAGCTTGTCAGTGGGGTTAAGCCCCCGCGGCAGTGGGATGGGGTGGGGATCACAGCTCTGACGGGTCAGGGGCTCCCTCTGGCCCTCTGTGAGTGTATCCACAAGGCGTGACTTGCTATACCTGTTTTCAAAAAGCTGCTTTAACATCAAAGCCCATGCTTGGAAAGAACCCCTACTTCTGCTTCTAGAGTTGCTTTTGGTTTGTTTGGGGTTGTTTCTAAATGTGGGTGTTATCGGACACGTTCAGATGGATTGAGGGCCTTTAATTTGTTACTCTATCTCAAATAAATTAGAGTTTTAATAAGTCTATTTTGCTATAAATATCCTTTTAGATCTGTTTTCACTCAAAATCTTACGTTATACTCCAAAAATACCATTTACTCCTGAACAGGGCTAATAAAGGTCTGGAACTTTAAAGTATCTGGGTCTTATAAGAACAGGTAAGAATGAAGTATACTATTTGCATTTCAAAGTAATCTTCCAGTTTCCAAAACCCAACTTCTTTTCATGGGTTTGTAGTACATAGAAAAAGAAAGCTAATTTATTAAATAAACACCAAAATAAGTGCAGTCATTACTGACAATTATATGTGGCATATGTGGTCTAATAAAGCAAAATAACATGTCTACGCCAGGCACCTCCTCTCCTGAGATTCTTCTGCGCCTTGTGGTGAGGAGGTGCGGGAAGCCTGGAGGAGGAATCCGATATCAATCTCCCTTCAACAAGTCGGGAAACTCTGTTCTAGAGCTTTTCAACATCAGTCCTGACAAACTATCATGCATAAATTTCCAACCCGCAAACATCATATTTCTTGATCTTACATCACAATGTGAGAATGCACGAGTGCAGATTTGCAAGAATGAGTGAAAAGAAAATGTGTAAATTCCAAAGTTGTCTCCATCCAGGATCATGATGTGGTTTGTGCCTTTTAACTAGAGAAGATCAAATTCACCATCAATGGTGGGATGCAGCATCTCTTGGATGAGAGCTTGCCCACTCCTGGGCAGCTCTGGATGGACAGCAGAGAGACTGGTAGCTAGTGGCACCTGTAAGAAATACGTGCACAGGACAATGCATTTGCCCGCTTAGAAGCTTGGCAGGACTCTCGCCTGGACATGCGAAAGGCATCATGTTATTCTGGAGGCAACTACTGGGTAGAACTCTGCTTTACACCTCATTCTTAAATATAAACCTTTAGCAAAGCCTTGCCACTTAAAACAATGTCAGAGTAAGTTTCAGTATAGCAACTGAGACCACAGAGGCATACCATTTGTTTATCCCTGTGTTCTGGAGCAGAAGTACCAAAGCAAAAAAGGAAATGTGCTTGCTTTTGACAATTGAGTTTTTCTCATGTTCATCTGCTAACACTTCCTTACACTGTAAGTCTGCATTTATTTTGCAGAGACTACACTGATCCTACACACAGAGATGACACCGCTCCCCTCCAGGCTGGCCTGCCAATCAGAGTACCGTCTCTTCACATACAGCATGTTCCATATTTTCTTAGCGAACGTAGCCAGTGGTGTTTGGGTTTAGTTGTGCGTTAAATTAATCATACAATTTCACGAATTCTTAAACGTCAAATCTAAAGAGGAGGTGGATAGTGGGCATTCGTTATGGAAGCATTTGTGTGCGTGGGGGGTTGGGGTGGGGAAACCTATTTGCAGGACAGGTAAGAAAACATACATTTTCATTTTAAACATTCCGTCTTAAAAATACCGGTCTAAAATTCTGCTTTTAGGAAATGACCTTCTGTTCTGAGTACACGCAGGTGAAAGAGCAGACAATAAAAGGAACGCTTAAGACACAGAAGAGTGTGTCACATCAATTTCAGCTGCATACATCCACGGGATGATCCCAGAGATACTCCCCACATTTAAAGAACTGCTGTAGGCTGTCCCAGCTATTGCATCTGCGTGTGTCCCAGGCAACATAATAGATTATACCTCGACTCCTTAAAGAGCACATTGATAATATGCAAGGCTAAAATGTCAGAAGCTATTAGAAACTCTCAGATGCACAATATATCTCCATCCCTGAGTTTTCCCCTTACACTGCGAAACACCAGACAACAGGCATGCAAACTGCTCAGCTGCAACTGTTCCAAGTCGAATAATTACAACTTGTCAGAAAGAATTAATTTTCCCATTTCTCATAAAGATGTGTAAAAATTACCATGTTATTATACACTGACACTCTCTGGAGGCAGACACAAAATTTAATTTTGAATTCTTTCCGCATATTAAATTAAATCCATAAATAAGAGTTTAGGCATTCACTCGGAAGCATATGTTCATTGGGAGCGAAAGCCAACACGAGCCCGGCTGTAATGGCTGTTGTAATGTTTTAATAGCTCGCTTCTTCTAAGCACCAATAAATTTACATGATCATAACAGTCGTGGGCATACAAGAAGCCCATTACTGTCTGGGCACAGGCAGCAGCGCTAACAGGATGGAAAAATGGAAAAAGGAAAAAAACTCTTAAATAAAATTAGGCAACTGCACTTGTCAGCTGCTCCATGATTGAATTTTTAATATTGTGGTCAATTGGTCAAAACAAATAATGGGATAAAATATTTTAATGTATTTAGAACCTGTTTCTGTGGTTAGCCCACAAAACTGTTCCTTGTTTGTTGGTTTTTCAAAACAAAAAAAGAAAAAAAAGGACCATCTCAATCTTGCTGTTTTGAACAATTTTATATTTAAAGACACACTGTAATTTTTCATCTTTTGGAGGACACTGGCTCTCTATGCGTCCGTATTTGAAGTTGGAGCATTTCAAATTCGGCTCAAAGGGTGATTCTTTTTAGCCAATGGAATGCGCCTTAGGGAGGCTGCTTAGGGTGCTAAGAAGTGAGGTCTAAGGCAACCCTTGTGGGACACAGGAGTGCAACGCCTGCCTGCCTCTGCCTGGATCAGAGAATGCTTTCCTTTGGAAACATAAATGAATACATGCTCCACAATTAGAATCCAAACTGAAAAGAAAACACCACAGCCTTCAGACCATTACTGAGGTGATGCAAATTCCATTTAACAGGGTTTGTTTTCCGAATAAACAACTTACTTCTTAACTTCTATGAGCAAATTCACCCTGGTTGTGAAAACAAAATACGGAAAAACCTATACCATACTGCACATTACTTAAGTGCTTTTCAAGGATAAAGAGTCCAAAGTAATGGACGGTCTTACAGCACAGGTCAGTGCTGGCTGGTTGGCATTTCTGGTCCTAATCATACAGACGCTGTCATTGATGGGAAGCTATAGGGTTAGGGGTGCGGTGAGCATGTTAGCAGAGAGTGAGAGAGGGAGTGGTGTTCAGAAAAAAAAGGTTTTGTTAAGAAGGATATGTGAATTGGCCAAAGCTTTTTTCATAAAGGGGTGATGAGTAACACATGCCTAGAGAACTGGCATGCACTAAGAATGGAAATGAGAAAAAAAAAGCACTTTTCCAAAAATGGCATGTGGATTTGATCATATTTACCCTTATAGATAGACTGTGATCATATAGGTAATGCTTATCCCAATGATTTCTCTTAACTAAGAAACCAATGCCATTTCAGTATAGTTTCATTTTATAGCGCAGTTTTGAATCATGAGATGTTTTTATACATATCAGATATTATCAAAAAAAGTTATTGGTTTGAGAGTTTTCTGTTTTGAGAAAAAAGATTAAACCTTGTAATCTACACCACAAAGACAGGTAACAAACTCTTCCTCCTTAATAATAAAAGATCTTAAAATTTTTTCAACAATGTGAGCCCACTACTAAATAGTCTATAATTCATTGCTGATATTTAACAGAAAGTCAGAATAACTCTTCCACCTTTCCAAAAAATGCACAGATGCAACCAAAATCTCTTTTTTAAAAAACTGAGCTTGCTTAATACCAACTGAAATCAGCTTCAAAATTTTCAGTTAAATTTGTAGAAAAATTGAACTAAATATCCTAACACTTTGAGAGTAGCAGATAACTATATTTCTATCAAATCACCCATATTTTTTAAAGACAGTTTTTTTTTAATCACTCATCCTCAAAAGAAAGGACAGAGCATATGCATTAAGTATTTCCAGATCAGAAATAGAAGAATAAATATAAACCCATCAGAATGTTCTGGGAAAAAAGACACACCTTGCCAAAACTTTATAAATGACTCTGAAACCTTTCTGCAAAGATTTCTCTTCAACGCTAAAAAACAAGGTATATATGGAGTGTTTTAAACCTCCTTTGAAATCTTTCTTCTCCTACATGATTTAACTCAGGTTGCTATTAAAATGGCTTACCAGGTGAAACATATTTATATCCAAAGTTGCAAAGTATTATTAAATGAAGGAAAAATCTGTCAGGAAGAAGTTTTAAGGAAAAAACGGCTGGGGACTGTACTCAGGTAATGAAAGATGGTGGATATATTGAAAGAGAATTAGAAGGTTTTCACATCTAAATATGTGCATAGGTTGATAAAAAGTACACAAGTTTATTAATAATATTACCTGTGGTTACAAAGAAAGATTTTGAATAAGAAAGAATACTAGATTATACCATCTCTTTTGCCCAGTAGGGTCTCCTTTATTGTAAAATGGTTGGAATAATTCTTCAGGAGCCAAATGACGCCCTGCCCATTGAGGAAGGACACTCACTGTCCCAAAGGACAACTCCCTTCTGTAACACTAGTGAATCCTAACACAAACAAATGGAACAGATTTTATAAAACCTATTTGAATAACAGAGTCTTTTTTTTCTCAAATACTATAAACTAGTCTGTTTGATTATTTATTCTTTATATGACTACATCAATGTGCCATATGCCCCAAATTCTACTAACAATGTAAACAGGTGGTAATAAAAAAGTGGGTTATTAGGGTCTGAAATCTGATAAAAGAAAAGTTAGTATAGTTTTCAGGAGGCTGGGGAATGTAATTACCCAAACTGTTGAATTAATCACTGGCTGAATCATGTTTATATTTAGGTATGGTGGATTTTTTGAATGGAAAGGAATTCTCAATTATAAAATGAGGTAAGCATTTAAAGTCTGTTAGAAGTTTCTTTTTGTGGGAAGGGGTAGGTAATTAAGTTTATTTATTTATTTTTTTAATGGAGGTGCTGGGGATTGAACCGAATACCTCAGGCATGCTAAATGCACATTCTATCACTCCCCCCTAAAATCTGTTAGAATTTTCTTAATAGTAAAATATCTGGGATCAAATTAACCAGATTTGACTTTATATTTCCCCTTTTACGTATTCCCCTTTGAATTAAATTTTGAGAAATATAGAAAATTTCTCCTTATTCTACTATTTCCCACTTAGAAAAAGGAACTACCACCCTCAACAAAAGGAGGCTCTTCCCAGGAACAGAGAGACATTAAATGTACAGCAGGTGCTCGCTAGTACAGGGTAGGAGAGAAGCAGCCAGGGGACGGAATACACAGAGCTGCCTCTCCTCTCCAGCTGCTTTCTCCATTCCAGCTCTTGGGACTGAATTTAAGTCAAGGATACCTGTAACACTGAGCCCCCAAAATATGGAAAGGAGATGTAGGGTACTGGTTGCTGCACACATGAACTAAAGTGCCATGCCTCTAATGAGGTATAAAATCTGCATTATAATAGATCAGCTCCAGACTATGTCCAAAGGTTTGTTGCTAGCAGTATTAATAGGGGTATATAGAAATATCATCTTCTTTATTTCCTTTTTCTCCTCTGTAATGGGAAACTGGTGGAGAGGGTGCTTGATAAAGACACCTTCTCTGATCCTTGACAAATCTATTAGCTTTTGATTCTCATCAACATTCACTTTATCTACTCACTTATATATTTGTATTTTTCCTTTAAAACACATATCACTGGGGCCAAGGTGGAGTAAGAGGGACTGGATTTACTATTCTACCAGAAACAACAACAAAAAATTAGCAAAATATGTGAAACAATACTTTGTAAAATATTAGACACCAGGCAACAGAGGATATTGATTACTGAGAAACAAGTAAAATTAGGTTACTCTCTTGAGAGAGTTTGCAGGCTGTTGCTCAGGAAAAGGGAGTTCAGGTGGGTCTGACAGATTCCCTGAGTTGACGAGACAGAAATGAATCCAAGAAGACAAAGGCAGTCAGGATTCATATGACCAATTCTTAGAGAAAAGAGCTACACAGAGAATTTGGGAGATTTAGAGGGTTCCCCTCAAGCATTCAGCAGAGATCAGTATATGTGTGAGGAAACTGCCCACAGCTAGAGAAAGAACCAAAATTAGAGGAAATGGTAACTTAAGTGTCACACAAGCTAGGCATAGGGCCTATTTTCATCACCTTCACTGGGAAGGAAAGACTCACAATTCACAGAACTATGTTAAGTACTCAGAAGTGCCTTGCCTTCAGAGTAGGGAAAAAGTGACTCTAGAAAAAAATGCCAGTTTGGTTCCCACCTAATAAACCATAAAAGCAAGACCCAAAAGTATTGATCTGTTTCCACTGAGTTCTAGAAAACAGCTAAAAAGTATTTATAGGAATACAAAAATATCCAGGATCCAATGAGGTAAACTTTACAAAATTTGCCATCTTATAAAAAATTACCAGGTACATAAAGAAGCAGGAAAATATGAACCACAATTAGAAGAAAAGTCAATTGCTCAAAACTGACCCCAAACTGACAGAGATGTTAGAAGTAGCAGAAATGTTGAATAATAATTGTTAGTTATTTAGTTTCATTCTGTACAATCAAAAACCTAGGTGAAGGATAGAAAATATTAACCAAAGACATGGAAAATACAAAAAAGATCCAAACCTAACTTCTAGATGATAAAACTACAATGTTTCTAGGGAACAACAGAGAATCAGTGAGTTGTGGGACAACTTCAGGAACTGCACATTCTGATATATGTGCACATGGGGTAAAGCAGGTGAGGACAGGAAAACAATGTTTGAAGAAATAATGGCACAAGAAATTTCAAATTGATGAAAAGTATAAACCTACAGATAAAAGAAAGAAAATAATTGACAACCTTGAATTCTATACCCAGCAAAAATATCTTTCAAAAAGAAAAGTAAAATAGAAAATAGAAAACACTATTACAAAAGTAAAAAAAAAAAAAATCACTAGAGGATACACCACATAGAAATTTTAAAGGAAGCCATTCAAGCAGAAGGATTATTTAAATGAGATAAAAAATAAAATATCAGTAGATAAAATCAATGCGACCAAAATCTGGTTCTTTGAGAAGACCAGTAAAATTGATAAATCTTTAGCTGTCTGATCAGAAAAAGAAAAGAGAGAGAAAGAAGACACAAATAACCAATATGAGGAATGAGAAAAATGACATCACTTGAGAGTCTTCAAATGTTAAAATGATTATATTATAATCAACTTTACGGCAAGAAATTTGACAACTTGTACAAAACAGACATACTCACTAAAAGATACAAATTACCAATGCTCACTCAAGAAAAAAATAGGTAACACAAATAACTTTCTGTTTATTTTTTAAAGAGATTGTAGTTACAAAAACTTTCCACAAAGAAAAATCTAGGCCCATCTTGCTTCACTGGTAAATTCTACCAAACACTATATAGATAAATAATTTCTCTGCAAGCTCTTTCACAAAGTTGAAAAGGAAAGAATACTTCTCAAGTCATTCTATGAGGGCAACATATCTTGATATTAAACCAGACAAAGGCTTACAAGAAACATACAGAATACAAAATACAAAATACAAAAATTGTAACAAACTATGTGATCATATCAGTAGATAGAGAAAATGTATTTAAAAGTCCAACATCTACTCTTCATGAAGATGCTCAGTATACTAAAAATACAAAGGACTTTCTCAACATGATAAAGAACATCTACCAAAAAAAACTAGGAGGTAGCATCATACTTAAATTAGAAAGAATAAATTCCTAAGATCAGGAATAAGACAAGGCGTCCACTATCACAATTTCTTTCAACCTTGTATTGGAGGTTGTATTGGAGTGCAACAAGCAGAAAAAGCAATAAAAGGCAGCTAGATATGAAAGCAATAAGCAATACTGTCTTTATTCACTGACAATATAATTGTATATATAGAAAATCTAGTTGAATTCCCAATAAAGGTACTAAAACTAATGAGTTAGGAGGGCTACAGAATATAAAAGCAATACACAAAAATCAACTGTATGCTATACCAAAAATGAAAATTCAGAAATTGAAATTTAAAATACAATATCATTTATAATGGCATCAAAATGATAAATATGGATTCACCTGAAAAGTAACTGCAATACCTACACACTGAATATTATAAATCATTCCCAAGATAAAGAAGATGTGCATAAATGGAAAGGTATATACTTCATTCATTGCTAAAAACCCAGTATCGTTAAGATGTCAGTTCTTCTCAAATCATTCTACAGATTACAAAGAACAATTGCAACATAATTTCAATCAAACTCCCAGAAGGCTTTTTTTTTTTTTTTGTAGAAATGGACCAATTCATTCTAAAATTGAGAAGAAATGCAAGGTACTGGAATAGTCATACACCTTTAAGGAAAAACTATTACAAAGTTTGTGTGCTAACCTGACCTGATTTCAAGTCTTACTATAAAGCTACAGCAATTAAAAAAAAAAAAAACTATGGTACTGGCACAACGAGGGACAAATAGATCAATGGAACATCACAGAGAGTTTGGAAATTGACCTACAGATATATGGAAAACTGATTTTTGACAGAAGTGCAAAACGGAAATTCAGTGGAGAAAGTATAGGCTTTTCAAAGATTGGTGCTAGAACAAGTAGACATCCATGTGGGAAAAAAACTTCAGTCCATAACTTGCACCATTGCCAGTATCAACTCAAAATGGGCCTTAGACCTAAACATAAACCTTAAATCTATAGAACTTCTAGAAGAATATCTTTATGACTTTGGGTTAGGCAAATATTCCTTGGATACAAAACCAAAAGCATAATCCACAGAAGAAAAAAATAGGCTGACTTCATCGACAATAAAAAATTTTATTCTTCAAAATACACTTTTTAAAGAATAAACAGTCAAGTCATCCGCCACAAGGAAATATTTCCAAATCAGTATACTGATGAAGGATCTGTATCCAGAATATAGGAGACTCTCGAAACTCAATAATAAAAAAATCAGATAACCCAGCTTAAACATGGTCAAGGGATATGAACAGACATTTCGCCATGAAGATATGAAGATAGTAAACAGGCACATGAAAATGTTCCTTATATCATTAGTCATTTGGTAAATATAAATTAAAACCACTGTGAGATGTAACTACACAACTATTAGAATGACTAACATTAAAAAGACCAACCACACCAAGTTGCGGTGAGGATGTGCAGGAAGTGGGGCTCCTCTACACTGCTGGTGGGAAAACAATGCTGGTTTCTTAAAAAGTTAAATACACATCTACCCTGTGATCCAGTCATTCCACTTCTAGGTGTTTACTCCAGACACATTAAAAATGGCCATAAAATAAGTAGACGTGAATGCTAATAGCAGCCTTATCGGCAACAGTCAAACTGGCAACAATTCAGCATCTATCAACAGGTGACTAAATAAACTATGTATATACGTACAATGAATACTACTCAGTAATAATAAGGAGTGAACTGTTGATACACCTGATAACATGGATAAATCTAAATAATTATGACAAGTTAAAGAAACCAGACCAAAGAAAAAAGTGTATATAATGGATGATCCCATTTGTATAAAATTCTGGATAATGCAAACTAATTTATAATGACAGTATATAAGGACATGAGAAAACTTTGGGGGATGATGGCATATTCACTACCTTGATTGGGGTGACTGGGGGACATATACATATGTCAATACTTACCAAATTGTACACTTTGAGTATGTGCAAATATATATCAATTATATCCCAATAAACTTAGAAACTATTGTAATTATTATTATTATACTGTATATGTCTGTTGTTTTAGGTTCTTCTTCTACATGAAGAGTGAATACTTCATGCAACCATGAATTTTTGTCTGTTTACTCCACTGTTGTATCCTCAATGCCTAAAGCTATGCCCAGCTGACAGTAGGTGCTAAATAAATATTTGTGTGATGAGCAATCTAGGAAGATTCTCGGGTTCTGACTCACCCCAATGCAGAAGTAATGAGTTCATTCACAACGATGTATACTACAGAAGCAAGAAAAGATTTGGGGAAAATGATGTCAACTTGCAAATGTAAAACTGAGGTATTCATGGTACCTTCAAGTGCAGATGTTCAGTAAGTAGTTGTGACAGATGAGTTCATGGGCTAAAGATAAAAATTTAGTGACCACCAACATTTAGGTGATAGTCAAAGCCATTGATGTCAACAAAATGACTCAAAGAAAGTTGACTAAGAGGGAAAATGCCTAATAAGCTACAAGAAAGCCATCATTTCAGGGATGGGCAGGGGAAGACGATGCTATTAAGGATATTAATACTGGGTAGGTAAAAAGATGGAGGAAAAGTCAGTTTAATGTTGTCTCAAAAGCCAAAAGAAATCAACAATTTAAAAAAGAGAAATAGTCAACATCTAGCATGAAGCACAGACACTAAGTAAAATCAGGGCTGAATCATACATAGCTTCTGGACACAGTAACTGAGAGGCTCTGGAGCCATGGCTGGAACAGAGTTGTGGCAAGTTTGTTGGTAAAGGCAAGGTCTTAGTGGGAAGGAAGAAAGTTCTCGAACAAAAAAAATCAACAAAGCAACGGTCTTGTTTTAGGAAGGTATCAAGAAATACCGTGCATGAGAGATGAATTTAAAGAGAATTAAGAAGGAAAACTATTTGTAACACAATGTACTGGAGGGAGGTGAACAGGGTCTGTATAAAAGTGGTGTCAGTGGAATAGCAGGGAAGATCACTGTACAACATCACAGAGAAAAAGATCATATAATTTAGTAATGTATTAGATGCAAATGTCAAAGGACATTGAGAACTAAAAGGAGATGCCATGTTTAGAGTCATGGCAGATTGGAAAGATAGGGATATTAATAGCAATGAAAAAATCAGGAATGAGATCTGATTGGTGGAGGAGAGAGGAACATTCTAATTTAGGAAGTATTTTTATCCTTCTGTAGTTTCCTATTCCAAGTTTTAAAGATATCTGTGAAGGTGTACATAACGAATCCATAATTCATGGAAAAGAAATCCTACAGTCGTGGAAATTGTCATTAATTTTAGGTATACCGACTTAATGAGATAGTGCCTCACCTATTTTTATTGGGGTGTTATTGGTAAAAATCATAGCCATAATTTCAACTGTGTAATTATAACTGAGGAAAAATACATCTGATATATTTGTTAAAACTTTAGCTCCTTGGCGGTGATGACGATGCTATGTGCGTGTGTGGTAAGTAAGTTCTGACGCGACAGTGGTATCCTGAGGGCATCATGTGAGCTGCTTGCTGTTTGAAAGGCAACTCCTTCCTGAGCTACTCAAACAGCGGAAGGAACACAATGCTCTCCAGCTACTGCTATGCCCTCAAGCTTGGGCTGAAATTTCTCATTGAAGTTTTCTTTAATTAGGACTGCTGAGACTCAATTTCTGTATTTCTTAAAAAAGTATGATTTCATAGAACTTGAGGAAAGAGGTAAAAAATAAGCTTACTATTATTCAAGACCACACAAAATAATATATATTCATTCTATCATAATACCACTTGATATATATTCCCCTGTGCTTTATTCTTAATCATAAATAGCTTTAAGAAGCTAGGAAATGTATCATCTCATTGAATACATTGAGAAATATTCTAACATTTAAAACTCAGTTTTCCTCTATCACTGAAAGGCTTTCAACTGACCTGTTTCTCAACATACAAGCATTTTGTACTCTGTAAAATCTTCTCTTGAATTTTTGTAAATTTCTTTAGGCTTCCATTAATATACTACATACTTAAATAAAGATGTACGTTGTCACACGCCTGGGTAAAATTAGTCTTTTTTGAGATTTCAAAGATTGTTGTGGTCATTAGCGAAAAGTGTATCACAGCATGTCGTATGTCATTGATTTTAAAAGTCTTGTATTTATTACCAATCCAGCATGACTTTCACGTACATTTTATGAGTTTTTATCTGGCGGAATTTAACTACCTTGGGCAAAAAGTACTTTGGTAGCTCTTGTAAAGGGATGCCTCCCAGAAAGGAAGCGCTGAGCTGCACATGTGAGCCAGTCTTGCTTTGCCCCAGACCTGCTTATCCTACCCGTGCCTTGGATTCCCTCACCTGTGAAATAGAGATACAGGTGGCCTCTACCAAACTTACAGGTTTGAAACAAAAAATAACAGAACATCACCTGTAAAGTGTCTCAAAAAATCATAAGTGGGATGTAACTCAACATGATTTTCTATCAAGACAAATACATTCAATATACTGTTGTTGTTGTTGTTCTGTGTTTAAATCTTCTTAACTTTGGCAAAGGTTTTTGAACTTGTCAACATACTGGAATGAATACTATAAGACAGGATAGCCGCATTATTTGGTAAGACTTGGTTACAAAATTGCAGGAAGAAAATGAAGGTGCTTAGTGCCGCCCAGCCGTGGCATAGGGAAAAAAATAACCGTAATCATATCTAATTAGTGCTAAAATAATGTTTCCCTTTGAAATGTTTAATTAGCGTGGTTTTAGTACATAAACATTCTTGATGTAGAGCGCACGGTAGAGCTCGAAGACTCTGATGAGTTAAATGGTGCAAAGTGCTCTTGCGCCCTGTGTGGGGCAGAACCTGACAAGGAGTTGTTAGCAGATGTCTGGACCATCGGTGGAGCCAGGATGCTTGCTCCAAACAGCAGGCCGTCATTTCAACCATTGTTGCTTCTACCAAACCTCCCAGTGTGCTTTCAATTTAACAGCATCACCAGCAGACAAAGAAATTTCTTACAATTTGCCCTTCAGTTCAGAGACGAATTCTATTTAAACTTGTCTAACCTCTCATAACGTATTAGTTATTGTTGCCAGCCTGTGTGTGTCCCCTGGCAATGAGCTCCTCGTTCCGGGAGAAGGAGGGGGTGCCCTTCAGCTTGATAAAGCTAGACCAGATTTACTGGCAGGCTGACAGGATGCTTGTCTCAAGATTGCAGCAAATTTAATTAACCTTATTACAAATATGGTTTTCTTGATGATTACATCACAATTTGGTCTTGCTTTGCCTACTGCTGTTTCAAGTAATATGTGCTTTCTAAAACAGTTTTCTAGAAAAGCTCAGACTATTGGAACAAGTAAACTTATCCTGGCTGTGACCCCTCCTACCTATGATCCTGTGTTCACACAGTTTCACGCACAACATCTTTCCTGGATCCTTGTCACTTTACCTTTGTTCTTGCACACCTTGCTGAAACCATGGCAAGAGGTAACTTTACAATAAAACTTAAGTGAGTCTAAGACATTAAACATACATAAAGGTTCTGGTGTAGACATCAACACAGGGCTAATTATTGCCCTAAATTCTTACCAAAGAGATTATCCTGGTCTTTGAAAAGTACAAGGGATTGTATTAGCTTCAAAGCCTAGTCAGGCCTTTTAACAAAAATAAATATTCTCATTTAAAAGCCTACACACACACTCACACACACACCACCCCCACAGTCGTGCTTTTCTCCAGAGGACTCTTGCCTCCCTAGTTCCTGAGGCCCGAAGTCCCTGGAATTGAGAGACTGGGAAGGAACATTCAGCCAGCCAGACTAACTCATGCCCGGAACACCCAATCTCCAATTCAACATGCTTTCTTTTATGCAAACAGCTCAAGGGAATCCTCTTCCTCTAGGAGATTGCCCGGGTAAACCAGGAGAATTGCAGTCACTTCCACCTTACCCAGGAGCATCTCTCAAGGTTCCTTCTGATCTCAAAATACACAGCTTCCTTTTGCGACTGGAGGGTCTCGGCCTGTGGATACATCTCTAAAGTGTAAGCCCTTTAGGGTCATTCAGACCGAGGTTGCTTGACTTTGGATGGTGGTCAGGGCTCCAGGCCTAATCAGCCCTGTCGAGGGTCTGTTCAGACATGGAAAGTTTTATTCCAAATAGATGGCAGGAGGAGGAAACATGAGAGTATCGTGGAGGCTCCCTATACAACAAAGGACTTTAAAGTGTTAATGCACCTTCTGCACCGCTACACGGAGCGGTCTGATCACTCAGTGTCTGGCAGATTACCCTTTTGAAAGGGGAAAAGAGAAAAATTTGTAAACAAGTTAGATGCCCAACAATCAGGGAATTGTTAGCCTAATAATCTATTCAATAAAATGCTTGGGAAGCATTGAAAAAGATTTATGAAGCATTTACAACAACAGAAAGACATGTTCAAAGTTCAGAGAAAAAAACTAGGATACAAAAATTGTTTGTACATATAAAGAATAAAATATTTGGACAGAAAAAAAGCATTTAAAGTGGTTATCTTATGGTAGTGGGTAAAATGCATTTATGTTTCTTTTCTTTCTTCTGCCCTTATTTTTCATAATTTAATAATTATAATTAGTATATTATATTTGATAATAGACAATAACAAAATAATGTGCTGCTTCATACTGAAAATTAGTGTAAGCTTAATTTTTTTCATTAGAAGAAAACCTAAACTTATCATGGGTTAGTTGTAGAAGTAAATTATGCCTTATAATCAGAACAAATTCATACTTTGAGAATATTTTCTTTCTTATTTTTATTTGAACCTCTAGGCTCTGCTAAGAACTTGAAATTAAATATAAATGAGTGTATCTTCCTTGAGAACAGGAATCCTTGTTCCTGAGCACTGCTCAGGGTGGTCTCCTCATACTGAAGCTTCTTTATAAATATCTAAAGAATTAACATAATGATCACTCCTGATACATATGAAGTCCACCATTTTCTCGCAAATAAATTACATGTATGTCAAACCTAGATAAGACAGGAGAATTCAGTTAATCATCCTCTACTGGTAGTCATGGGAATAGAAAAAATAGATTCTTGCTTTCCAAGACAGATGAAAAACGTTGGTTTTAGATATTTTTCTTGATTCATCATTTGTTTGTTGAATTATTTTGGGTATTTTGAAAGAGGTTCCAAACATCCTTATCAAACTCTCTTATTTTGGAAGACATTGCTTCCTTGATGCTACTATCATGACATGAAGTTATTCTAAAACAAACCCCCAAAAGTTGCAGCTATTGAAAAACTTTTGGGTTCAGAGGTGCAGAAAGCAAGTCTAGCAACCTACGGCTATGTTCTGCCCACGCGGTGGCCTCCGTCCTGAAAAACCTCTTCCCTTGTACAGTCTCAGGTTCTCTTCACTAAATTGTCTAAAACAATATGACCAAGATGTTCATTTAGGTTGTTAATAAATAGGGGTTGAAAACAAAAGATAAAGTAAGGCAAGTGAATTTGAACCTGTCTCTTCTCAATGCTTAGCTGAGCTGAGCTAAGAAAACGAGACTTTCATTCAAGCGTGGAAAGAAAACAGATGGATCCATCTGAGGAAGGAGTTCGGACCTGGATGCAGGCACCTGGATAGCATCTGTAGGTGTCAGGTACTTGAGAACTCTAAAGAGCAACAGGAGGTAAAAAGTAGATGTAGAAAGAGAGGGAGGAAATGCAACAAAAACAGAGCTTACATTTTGAATGGACATGAATAGGATGGACAACTAACCCCTCAGACCAGATCCCATCTTCAGCGATTCTGAGGACCCAAATCCCAGCTTCTGTGGGCTTTGTTTCTCCCCCTTGGCACCTGCAACTTTTCTTTTGAGGACTCCCCTTAGGCTACTGGGACCCCTTGCACTGTAAGAGCAGGGGCTGGAAGTGCCTGGCAATGTGGGTTTTATCCCCTCCTGCCTGGTCCTGTGGGCTTATAATCTAAGACTGCCTGGTAGGGATGACAGCTGACAGTCCCTGGCAGGGTGACAACCAACTCCTTTGCCTTGAGATGATAAAAACTCTAAGGTGTAATTTACATTCCAAGCCCTCCACAAGACTAGGTCTGGAATCATACCCTGTTTGGCTTCCAGCCTTCTCGGTCCTGCTCCCTCCACTCTCTTATTGGTTTCTCCTGGGAGCACTTTCTTAATCAATAACTTGCACATGAATCCTTGTCTCAGAGTCTGCTTCTGGGGAACTATACTATTGTACATCTCAGAAAGTGAAATACATCACCATTTCTCCTTCCTCCTCCTCACCTTCCTTCTGTTCTACCCTCCTGAATTCACCCCTTCTTGACTTCAGTCCCCAGAACTCATGCCAGATCATTATTCCTAGTTTATCTGTCCTAGATATATTAAACCAGCTGTACCAAGTAAAATTCTAAGAGATCTTAGCACTTAATAAAATATTATGCAATTAAGCCATATATTCATAGACTTCACTGCAAGAACAATTTAGAAACTTATTTTTCTTAGATACAGCAATTAATGAGTTCCATGACCGATTCCCGAAGGAACAGCAAAAGTTATCCACAACAAAGGAAATATAGGATTCTAAAGGTATTACCATATTCTGTCCATGGACTTAAAAATCTATTGATGAATAGTTCATAAGAAGCTGTAAATTTGTGGGAAAATGAGCTTTTGTAAATAACAGTGTTTGATCACATGAAATGAGAGGTATGTGTGGTATGAAAACAT